CCATGTGGCAATCTCAAACTCTTATTTCCCCACTGCATTCCCCAAATGTTTCCTCCCTGTCCCACCATGCTTGGACATCTTGGCCATCCCTGTCTCATAGCCCTTCAGAACTGACCAGGACATTTAGGATTAATGGCTGAGCTTTAGTGTTTCCATCCACAAAATGGATATTGCTCATCTGAACGTTATGGTCAGAGCTGATGGGTCTAAAGCTCCTTAAAGATATGATGCTGTAAAAAATTGTAAAGGCTATTGATAGTTTATTATTTTTTATCTGTAATATTTACAGCCCTTCAGTTCCTTCTTGCATAACATAGCAAATGTTGTTCTGCTTCCTGAAAATGTGTGGTAAATCAACTGATCCGCTGTTGTTTTCAAGTATCCTTACTTAGTGTTAGTTTTCATGCACATGTTTTGGATTCTATGTAAAATGTGCCTTAAATAGCTGAATAAAATAAATGCCAGGGCTCTTACAGCTTTTTCCACCTGCTTTCAATGCAGAACTGCCAAACAATTTCAGTGGTTTATAGCCTGTTGCCCAAAATCAAATTCTGTGTTACTTTTGGTTTAAGGGCTAATAGCTTTTTGAAATATATTAGTGTTTTCTGGTGACAGATCCAAGATTAGCTTTTATCCATTGTTCCAAGAGGTATTCCATAATCCTGTGGCACAGTCAACTTTATGAGGAATTTTACAACCTTTCATGAGCGCATTGTGTTTTAAAATGCTAAAAAAGCAGTTAAGGAGAGAGGAAAACAAAGCACTGCAGTGTGTCCCTCTGATGTTCCATTGGCCTTTGAAGTGCTGGGGAGTGAGGAGGGATGACTGCAGGAATGACTGCAGGAATGACTGCAGGAATGACTGCAGGAGGAATCACTTTGCCCGGGCAGACTGAGGAGCCAGCCAGCCAAAGTTTTTAAGTGCTGCAGAACTGCTTTACTGGAAGAGTATTTGCCTTAAGACAATGAACAGCCAGAGTGGGGGAGCCCAAGCCACTGCCAGACCTTGAGCATGTCCTTGGGAGCAGCAGCACTGAAGAATGAGTTCCATTGGAGTGATGTCAGTCAATCCTGATTTTTTCATGTGATGAAATAAAACCAGCATGGGCAGCAGATGGAGGAGGGGGATTCTGCCCCTGTGCCCCTATGCCCAGGTGAGACCCCACCTGCAGAGCAGCCCTGGCCCAGCACAGGAGGAGCTGGAGCTGCTGGAGGAGCCCAGAGGAGGCTCCAGGATGAGCAGAGGATGGAGCAGCTCTGCTGGGAGGAAAGGCTGGGAGAGCTGGGAATGTTCACCTGGACAGGAGGAGATTTGGTGTCACCTAACTGTGGTCTTGCAGGACCTGAATGAGCTACAGGAAAGATGGAGAGAGACTTGGGACAGGGGATGGAGGGACAGGACACAGGGAATGGCTCCCACTGCCATTCCATCACTGCCAGAGGGCAGGGATAGGTGGGATACTGGGAAGGAATTGTTCCCTGGGAGGGTGGGCAGCCCCTGGCACAGGGTGCCCAGAGCAGCTGTGGCTGCCCCTGGATCCCTGGCAGTGCCCAAGGCCAGGCTGGACAGCGCTGGGAGCAGCCTGGGACATGGCAGGGGTGGCACTGGATGGGCTTTGAGGTTCCTTCCAATCCAAACCATTTTGGGATTCTCTTCTATGATTCTGGGATTTGAGGCAGTGCAAAAGCAGGACTTTGGGAGTGCATCCATTGCTCCCAGGTGGTTTCTGCAGGGCAAGGCAAAGGCAGAGAACTGCTGGGGGAGGGCAGGCTCAGGAAGGACACCCCTGCTTTGTGCAGCATTGCAAACTGTGGGTACAACTGGGACAAATCTCTCCATAATACTTTATTCCTCTTTTGCATGGGGAAAAAGGGAAACACCCAAGTGCTGTGATGAGATAGACCAGAGAATGGAGTATTGGATGGGCTCAGCACAGCTTTTTCCCTTTAAAAGCTACTCTATGAGACCTTCAGCCCTAGATGGAAATGTATATCCTTCCAGGAGAAGTATTTCAGAGGCAGGGTCCAGCACATCATTTTCTCTCCCTGCTTCCTTAAAGATGTTATATCCTTCCCCCACAACAAATGCTATTGTTGGAAAGAAAATGGAAAATCTTTCTGGCTGAAAGCAGCAATCTTCAAAGCTAAGAACAATCCCTTCAGGGTAGCTGAGTAACTGCTCAGGCTATACCAAAACAGCCAATTTGTACTTGTGAGGTATCAAGGCTCAGCTGTTCAGTGGGGCTGGAGATGTTTGTACCTGGCAATGGCTGGAGTCTGGAGTCGTCTGTCACTGGGACATGGTGGGCTGGGTCTGGGCACTGAATAGTTCTTGAAGCCTGTTTCTGTAGTGGGGGAGAAATCACAGCCTATTTTTTGAATATTTTTTGAATGAAACTGCACCAGTTTCCATTTGATGGAGGAAGTCACAGGTTTGACTGAGCCTTGGGAACTGCTTTCCTTTGCAGTTCCACCATCCAGTGCCTGGTGGGAGTGGAGCAAGCTCAGCCTCCCCTGGTTTGTCATCCCAGCCAAAACTCTGCTTTGTTTTATCCCTAATCTCCTACTGCAGTTCCTCCTAAATATTAAACAAGCGAGGGAGACAGGGTTGTCTGTGAATAACTCTCCTGATGAGAATATTTGCAGTAAAAAGGAGACTCCTACCTCAAAAGAGCTTCTTCTGGGGGCTTCCCCAGTGGGATTGGCAGTTCTGTGGACCCCACCTCCCAAACCAAGCACTCTCCTGTGGCTGGTACTATTTCTGCACCAGGGCTGAGTTGAGGAGTTGAGGCTGTGCATCCACGGTGGAGTTGCAGCCTTCAGTTGAGTGTCTGCATATTTATCAATGAGAAGATGGAGAAGATGATCAGAGGGATGGAGGGTTGTTAGGAAAAGCTGAGAGAGCTGACAGGGAAGGTGGGCAGAGAGGATTTCCAAGGCCCTGGCACAGGTGCCCAGAGCAGCTGTGGCTGCCCCTGGATCCCTGGCAGTGCCCAAGGCCAGGTTGCATGGGGCTGGGAGCAGCCTGGCACAGTGAAAGGTGTCCCTGCCCTGGCAGGGGCGAAACGAGAAGAGCTTTAAGGTCCTCTCCAACCCAAGCCATGCTATGACACTATAACTACCCTGAAAACTCAACTCTGGGCATTTTGCTTGGAGACACCCAATGAATCAACAGCAAATCTGAGTTAAAATCCAAGTTGGTTTTGTTTTCCCACTGTACCTTTCACTGAACTCCACATGGATACACAGCACCTGGGAGTTTTACTGAGACAGGCACTTGGTGTGTTTTGGGAACTAAGGCAGTTCATAGACAGATTCCCAAAATAAAACAAAAGTCTGCCTGAGAGGGAAGTTCAGTTGTTTAACTCAGAGTGTAAACACATATATGTCTGTTTCTTGACCTACTTGCTTTTCTAAATTTTAAGAACTGATTTGAATTATTGTTTTTGCTGCGATGCAGACCTCTTGAAATTTTTATGAGAAGCATCTTCTAAATTCTGTAGCAAGAATTAATTGGTGTCAATCAGTGATGTTTAAACAGTATGATGCAGTTCACACTGGCAATTCTCAAGCAGTTGTGCCATCTGTGGTTCCTCTTTATTGGGAAGTTTAAATTTTTTGGGTTAAAGCAGTGTATTATTTGCAGATGGCCAGCCCACCATTCAGAACCACAGCAGGAAAAACACTACTCTGGCATGGCTGGGATACAGTTTAAGCACAGTGCAAGAGACATCCGAGTACTGCAAAAGTAGAAATACTTGAAAAGACATAAGCAGGCAAGGATTTGTGCACAGTGGCTTGTAAAAGTTAGTTTAGTTGAGTTTAGTTTTGTTTTATTTAATTTGCTTTCTTTAATACAACACTCTGTATTTTGAGATTGACACACGGAGGGTTCTCATGGATAAGGAATAAAAGAAGGGGGTCAGTTTTCCATTGGCATCTATGGCTTTACCATAGCCAAGCCTTGGCTTTGTACCTTCAGTGCAGTCTCTGTGACTTTGGACTCTCGTCCTGCCCAGCATGGTCCTGCTGGGGGGAGCAGGAGCATGGGCAGAGCCATGGAGGGTTCAGAAAAGGCTTTGAGCCTTGACTTTAAGCTGAGTACTTGGTGTAAGTCAGGGGATAAGTTGTCCCTCTTGAGCATGAGCTGTAGCATCCAGCAGGTCCTCAGAGCCAGGCTCAAGCAGCAGCCAAGAAGGGACACGCCATTTCTGGGCTCTCCTCTGAGGTGGGAGAGGCCAGATTGCTCCAGAAAGCAAGAGCAGGCTTTTGGGGAGACAGCTGAGCCCCGAAAGATTCCTCCATCCAAACAAACTGACTTCTGGGCTTTGTCTGGATATTGACTTCTGGGCTGTGTCTTGGCTGCAGTGGCAGACCTGCCCTTGTGACAGTCATGGAAAAGGCAGTCAGGAGTTTAACAGGAACACGGATGGTGCAATTTGACTTTGGGATTTTCAGCATTTCCCTGCTCCCCACAGGTGTGGCCATACTGTGGTGCTGCTCAGGGCCCAGCAGCTGAGTGTGTCAGCCTGGGGCTCGAGGGTCTGGTGACCAACACCTCTTGTCCTGAAGGCTCCTCAAGGCTTCGGTCCTGGCTGGGTCCTTTGTGTCACCTCTTGGTTTCCTCAGGAATTTAAACCCCAGGGAATGGCTCCCACTACCAAAAGGAAGGGATGGATGGGATATGGGGCAGGAATTGTTCCCTGGGAGGGTGGGCAGGCCCTGGCACAGGTGCCAGAGCAGCTGTGGCTGCCCCTGGATCCCTGGCAGTGCCCAAGGCCAGGCTGGACAGGGCTGGGAGCAGCCTGGGACAGTGGGAGGTGTCCCTGCCATGGCAGGGGTGCACTGGATGGGATTTAAGGTCCTTTCCAACCCAGACCATTTTGGGATTCTGTTTTTTTTTTTGTTTGTTTTTTTTTTTGTTGTTGTTTGTTTGTTTGTTTGTTTGTTTGTTTGTTTTTGTTTTGTTTTTGTTTTTGTTTTTGTTTTTGTTTTTCCAAAGGTCTACAAGTATCTTTTTGTTTGCTGGTGTAACAAATCAGCAAGCCCTGGCTCAAGGACTATTGGGTGATGATCAGGTGCTGAAATAACTTAGACCATGCAAGTATCTTCTGTAATAAAAAAGAAATAAGTGAGAATTTATTTTCTAATGATACAAGGAGTCAATATTTAAAATGGATTTTCTGTTTTTTTCAATGATTTATTAAAATTCCAATGAATTTGCTCCTCTTGCTCTTCTTCCTTCCCTCCTGTTTTTCAAGAAATAGGCTGAAGCTTTTCAAACCAGCTCTAATAATAAAATTATTTAAGAAGTAGGTTCTGGTCATCGAGATGAATATTAAAGTTCAAAGCAGCAAAACTGAAGAGTAGTTGACTTTAAGCTATGGTTTTGCTTTTTGCAAGTAAGTTCTTTAATTTCTGAAGTCAGTCAAAAGCTGAAGCCATTCTAGAACCTTTATAAATGCTGATCCTGAAAGATATTTATTGATAACCATAGCACAGATCTTTTTAATATCCTTGAGGGAACCATGCAGCAATCTCATATGCTAAAAGCACAATAAGTTGCTTGTTTTTTCACAGCATTTCCCTGATGTATCAGTGATGAGCTGTCCATGTTCACAGGCTGAACTTAAAAAATTCATGAAATATGAATGGAGTTATTGTAATATGCAACTAAATATGTTCCCAACTTTGAAGATAACACTGAGGAAAGTTACTTTTGGGCATTAGCTGTTCCCATAGTGGAGAAAAATGTTAAGGCTGGGGATAAAGAGTTCACTCCTTGATGTTAAATACGTGCCTGAAGTATGTCAGAAATGACTCTGAGAGAGCAGAGTGAACCATTAATTTCAGAATATCAGCTTCTGAAAATAATAAAACATCTTTCTATACAAGTTTTACTCCTTTCACCAGCCCAGGTCTCACAGTGATGTTGGTGACCCTTGCAGGGAGCAGATTCCACACGGAGAAAACTCCAGTGGGAAAACCAAAGAATTCATAGGCAACATGGAGTCTTAAATTCATCTACCTGATGAACATATGGCTTTCTCAAAGGTGGTTTTGGTAGCAAAGCAAGAAAACTGAGGCTGAATAATCAGGAATTCTTGAGAGCCTGAGAGAAAAAAGGGAAGATACAACTCCCAGGTACCACCTGAAAGCAAAGAAATAACACAGTTGCACTCACAGCACTCCATCCAGAACTCTCAGACTTTGAGGAAACAAAAATGGCTTTAAATGGAACCTTTTCTGTAGGTTTTTGTTTGGCTGTTTGGTGGGTTTTTTTNGGTTTTGTTTTGTTTTTCTTTTGCAGATCGCTGTTTTCATACAGGAGTTTGGTTATGGAAACGATAATTTATGCAATTCAAAGAAATTTAGCTAATAGACCCAAACTTTTTTTTTTTTCCTTTGAGCTGGTGGTACAAGGCTGGAAATGTAACTGGGTGCACCCAGGGATCATCTGGGTGAGGACCCAGCTGGTGCTGAGGGAAGGCACCTTTGCCCTGGAGAACCCCCAGCACTGGCAGAAGCTCCAGAGAGTAGCAGAAACTATTTTTTCCTGCCTGTTTTACATCTCCCAGATTGTGAAGACAGTCTGCCCCAGATCTGTCATGGTATCATGCTACCATCACACACTCCTGAAGCAATTGGGGGGTGATAGCTTCTGAAGATCCAGTTATTTTTGTATTTTTAATTCTTCTTCTGACTGGCAGCTTGTGTTGGTTGTATTTTAAGGAGCAAAGATTTCAGCTAAAGCATTACTGTGTCATTAACCAATCCATTGAATATTCATGATTTAGTGGATTCCCCCCCCTGCCCCCCCCCAAGAAGGAGAGAAGTAATTATTTTGGCTAGCACTTGAAAAGTGTGTGTGTGTGCTGTTCACAGAACTCTACTGGAATGGGCAAAAATAGAATTTTTCTATTAGACATGCAAACTGATCTCCTCTGCCTGATACTGATACATATCCTTTAGTTCTTGTTCTCCATTTAGTAACAATGTTTCAATCTTTTTTTTTTTTTTCTCGATAGGAATGTAATGAAACTGGGAAAAAAGGGAAAAAATAGAAGGAAAAAACCTTCAATATCTCCAGTGGAAGCTGAGCTATGCCTCAGTTGAACTCTGATTTAGAGAGTTGAGTCTTGACAGACCTTTTCAAGGGATCATTTCGTATTTGCTGTTGAAATTTAGTTCAGTGTTCTGGGGGTGCAAAGCTCAAAGGAAATATGGGTGGGGAAGCTGCTCTCAGGCCTTGGAATTCCACAAAGCATAACTTTTCCTGGTCGCCTACAGCCATGTCCTGTTGGTGTCCCTCTGCAGGGCAGGGTGACAGGAAAGAGACCCAGGTCATGCTAGAGGAAGTGAAATGAGATTTTAGGAAAATTTCATCACTGAGAGGGTGGTCAGGGCCTGGCACAGGCTGCCCACAGCAAGGTGGAGTCACCACCCCTGAAGTGTTCCAAAAACATGTGGGTGAGGATCTGGGGACAGGAGTTAGTGCTGAACAGGGTGGTGGGGCTGGGTTGATGTCTGCACTTGGATGACCTTGGAGGTCTTTCCCAACCTTGGTGATCCTGTGATTCTCCGATTCAGTGGACCCTTCGATGTTTGTTGTTATCTGAAGCATTCTGCTCTCCCTTGTCACTGCAGGGGAGGTACAGAGGGATGTGTTTGTGGATAATTCTGCAGGTCTGGTGACACAGGTGGCACTTGGCTCCTTGGCAGTCCCAGAGAGCTGAGCCTCGTTCAGAAAGTGCTGAGAGTGGTTGTCAGGACATACTGAAGGGAGTGTGATGCTTGGTGTGAATACTCTGGGGTTTGCTTGGTCTCCTCAGGCCAGAAGTGACTGGAATACAACTGAACAAAACTGAAATAACTTCTCCCAAGTGAAAGAAATGAAGGGAAAGTTGTTGCTGCTGCTGAGAGCAGCACAGCAGAAGGGGCCTGTGGAACATGGAATGCTGCAAACCAGTTCAGGAAGGGGACCAGCTTCTCCTCAGCCTGCTTCCCTTAGCAGTTCTGCAAAGGGAAGCAGTGCCCAGCTGCCCCTGAGGTCAGCAGCAGGGCCAGCTGTCCTGGAGGAGGTGTAGCTGGGCTGGGGACAGTCCCAGGTGATGGGATCCTTGTCAGCCAGCACAGCTTCAAAGTCTGCTGCTTGCCTCTCCTCAGATTAATACAACAGCAGCAGCCGCAACAGAAACCTGGGGAGCTTTTACAAGTGAATCTTTGTGGACAGGGCAGGGGAGCTCTTGGCTCATGTGTATTCTGACTTTTTAGCTCTCATGTTATTTCCCACACAGAGATTTTTTTCCTTGCATTTTTTGGACATCTTTATTTTCTCCTATTGTGCTGTCTCCCCCAGGACCACGCACTCATGGGTGCCAGGTGCCCTGTAGCCATGTGTCACCCTAAGGGGACTTGAGCCTTTCTCCCTCCCTCCTGTTTTTTTTGAGATTTAATTCTACTCCTTTTTTGGGGGAAATGGTGGCAAAAATGCTCGCCTTCACCTTCAGCAAGGAGCTGCTTCAAATCCTTGCATTCTCTTTTTTAAGATCCTGAGATTATTTTTTTTTTCCATTGGGATCATCTGTAACAGCCATGTGCCAAAAGCCTGTAAATCCAGCTTTTTCCAAACTGGTTTATAATTAAAATAGATCTTGCTGCTTCTGTGTAATACACCAGCCTGACTTCAGTGGGAGCAGTGGTAATGAGAACAACGGGAATGGGTCTTTATCCCAGACTGCTTCAGAATAAGCAGCAGGTACTTTTCTGTTTGCACAAATATTTCTGCTCCTGACAATTAAAGCCATGTGGTTTCCCTTTTTGGTAAACTACTCTGCCAAGTTGGGTGGTGTTTGTTTATTTGTTTAATAAAAAGTGCTTTTATTTATAGAGAAGAAAAAATCTCAGTTGTCAGCTTTGGAAACAAACCTTCTGTTTATTGTGTGCCAAAACACCCCTATAGAACCCCCAAACCAGCCTCCCCTCCGTGCCTGCCAAAAGCTGATTTTCAGCAGTTGGTATTTCTAGCTCTATGTCATGCAAATCATTCCCATTTTCACCCTCTTAAATTGAACCTTAGTGGATGATGGACTGACCAGAGTATTTTAGGGTCTGACTATGAGTAATGTGCCTGTCTCTTCTCCAGATCTGTAGCAGGATCCTGGGTCTGAACATACAAGCCATGAAAGACTTCATGTGCAGTTAGGACATTAAAACTCCATATCCTCCGAGGCAATTTTAGGTTTGTTTCCATGGCATTGATTTTTTGTTGGTTTTTTTTGGTTTTTTTTTCCTTTTTAATTATGGCTTTAGGATGAGAGGGGTTATTCTTACCTTTTGAAAAGTTGCCTTGTAGGATAAAATGGCTCAAGGTTGTTTGAATTTCTCATGCCTGTTGGTGCCATCTTTCTGAAAAGCAGAGTGAACATAAAAGCACGTGGATAAAGCTAGGAAAACAGGGTTATGGGTTGTTCAGTAGTGGCTGTACCCTCATGAGAAGATTCAGCATTCTGGCATTAAAACGTTGGATGTGAACTGCAGTTTATGATGTTTATCACTTTACCTCATGTCAGGGTTTGAGGTACAGGCGATCCTTGCTAATGACAGCCGTGACAGCTCTGAAGTCATTCCCTTGCTCCAGCACGGAGGAGCCTGGGGAAGCTTCCTTTGTCATTCCGTGCTAGGGCAGGGAAAGCCAGCGTTCCGAGGGAGACGACAAAGGTGCCATCCGGGAAAACCGGGAGAAGAGTGCAGGAGAGGCCCACGCACCGCCCCGGGGGCTCAAACTTTCTGTGACACGGAGCGCGTTACCGCAACCGGCCCCATCTCTGCCCGCTACAGCTCCGCGCTCCCCATCCCCTCACGGCTACAGCGCCCAGCGCTCCGATCCCCGCACGGCCCCGGCACCCAGCGCTCCCCATCCCCTCACGGCCCCGGCACCCAATACTCTCCATCCCCTCACAGCCCCGGCACCCAGCGCTCCCCATCCCCTCACGGCCCCGGCACCCAGCGCTCCCCATCCCCGCACGGCCCGGGCGCCCCGGCACTCCGCGCCCGCGCTCCCCGTCCCTCAGGGCCGGGGTTCGGTGCCCGGCCGCGCTGCCCGCTCGGCGCCGCCGCAGCCCCGGGACCCGCGGCGCGCTCGGGCCGCCATGCCGGGCTGTGGCGGCGGCGGGGCCGCTCTCCGCAGGCGCGGGGGCTCTGCCGCAGCCGCCGGCCCTGCGCGGCCGCTGCGCGGGGCGGGGGCTCCGCCGCGGCCGCCGTGCCGCCCCCTCCCCGGGCGCCGTGAGGGGCGGGCGCCCCGCGCCCCCGCCCGCCCCGGCCCCCTCCGCCCGCGCAGGGGGCGCCGGCTCGGCCCGCGCGGCGCAGCAGCGGCCGCGCTCCCCCCGCGGGCCGGCGGAGGCGGGAGGCGGGCGGGGGCCGGGCGCTGATGCCGGCGCCGCCGCCGCTGCTGCCGCAGGGCTCCTCGGCCCCGCGGCCGCTCCGCAGCCCCGGCGCGGCCGCCCTGCGCGGGGCATGAAGTTGCGGCGGCGGCGGCAGCGCGGCGGGCGGAGCGGGGCGGGCGGCCCCGGCCGCGCCTCCTCTGCGGGGTCGTAGTCCCGAGCGGGCTCGCCGCGCCCGGGCTCGCGGTGCCGCTGCTCGCCAGCCCTCCCGCTCCGCTCGCCGCTCCGCTGCAGCTCGGCCGGCCGGGGCGCGCTCCCCGCGATGTGCGCGCAGCGGCGGGCGGCCGCCGGCCCGCTCCCATAGCCCTGCCGGCAGCGCGGCGGCTGGCGGGGCCCCTCGGGAAGTTTGATGGCTTCTTTGAGGAGAGTCAAAGTCCTGCTGGTGTTAAACCTGATCGCCGTGGCTGGCTTCGTCCTCTTCCTGGCCAAGTGCAGACCCATCACTACCAAGAGCGGCGACTCCTACCATGACATCCATCCCAGGGCAGAAGTGGCCAACTTGACAGCCCGCGGCGTCAGCTCCATCCAGGATGCAGTGCTGAAGAGGCTCTCGCTCCTAGAAGACATAGTCTACAGGCAGCTGAATGGTAGGAACAGTTCTCTTGCTCTTTAATGCCTTCGGGGTAGGGTGATGGTGCATCGAGGCTCGGAGCAGGTGCCCGCCTTGCCTGAAGTTTGCATGACGGACCCCTGCTCTCCCCTCTGCTGGTGTGCAAACGGAGTCTCAACAGACTGAATCGATTTAGCATCTGATTTCCAAGTTCTGTGTGTGTCTAAAGCTCGGGGTACCTTGCACAGGATGGAAGGAAATGGTAATAACAGAATGCTGCCTTTCAGATTTATAGCAGTGGTCAGAAAATGACAGCGGCACGATTTCTGCATCAAACGAGCCGGGTGTGCGGCGGGTGAACACGGGTTGGAGCAGCGCAGGGTATATTGATCGGGGGAATGGCTTTTACTCCCACAGAGCTGGGTTTGGAAAAGGAGTTTTCAAATGGCTCAAGTGTGTTGCATCATTTCAGTGCAGAAGGTCAGAAAGCAAAAAGCACTTTCTCTAAGAAGTTAAGCAAACTATTTAGTATTTCCTATGGCTCAGCACTGACAGCTGCTAATTAAAATCTCAAGTAATGCTTCTCTTTATAGCACAGAAAAGGGATTTCTATTAAAATCTCACCAGGTTCAGTAGCTCAGAGACGTAGAAAGGGAATTTTAAAGATGCTGTGCAGGATAGAGAAACACATTGTAAAGATGTAAGAAATCTAGGTGAGGTATCTAATTAAAACACTCACAGTGGAAGCTGATTTTTTTAAAGCTGTTCCCCACAGATTCACAACTGGGGGTGTAATTTCAATCAAGGGTCTTGCTTATTGCTTCCAATCTCCGAAGCTTTAATCCCTGCAAGTTTCTGCGTGTTGGAACGAGCAGAGTTGGTGTTCCTGGCAGTGTCAGTGTGATTCCCTCTCCGAGTTTGGAATATGGTGCTGTGCTGAGCCAGGAACTGGTGTGTGCTGTGTCTCGGTGCTGAGCCTGAGCTGTAGCTGGTGTCACTGTGCACCCAGGAGGAGAAGCAGGTGCAGGGAGGCAGCGTGGCTTTCCTGGAGCACTTGGCTCGGGCAGTGGCTTTGGGGACAGCACTGGAGTACTCAGAGGAGGAGGAAAGTGTTACTGATATTCCTACCTTACACGCTTGCATGAGACACCTGTCCTGCCTGTGCCTGGCACCATGAGATGCTGAAACAGCACTGGTGAGCGATAAACAGAGGAGAAGCGTGAGGAATAAGGTAGGAAGTTGAATGTTATTTGCAATCAAACTGTGAAATTGCCTGCTCCTGGATCCTGCCAGGGCAGAAGTTTCCAGGAGGATTTAGACAGTTACTTGGGCAATAACTGCAGCTCAAGATAAGAGCCCTTATTCCAGGACTCTGGATCAGGATAGGACAAGATCATGCAGCAGTCTGCCATCCCTGCAGACACAGGGTGAGCTGGGGTTATCACTTACTGCCCTTCTGTGCAGGTTAACCTGGGGCTCCCCACTCTGCCCTGCCCTGCTGGTGAGAGGAGCTGCAGGGGCAGGAGCAGGTCAGTGCTGTCCCCAGGCTGCTGTGGGCACGGGCAGCGCTGTCTGGAGCCTGCTCAGTGCTGAGCAGCAGTCGTGCACCTACACACCAGGGGAGGCAGAGAGGGAATAGATATGTTGGCATATCACAAACGTTTTCTCAGGGCAGGCAGAAAGCTGAGCACATAAATGTGACATCTTGTCTGGCCTCTGCATCCTGGGGTGATTTATAGCAGCGCTGATCAGTCTGGCTAAAAAATAGCTCTGGCACAGCACTTATGTAACTTTGGGTCAAGTGTATATTTGGTACATGTGGTTTTGAGAGAAGCTCAGTGCTCTGAGGGGTGGCTGTGGGCTGTGCTTCAGCAAGGCTGGGCTTTGCAGTAAGATGTAGGGGGGCCATCCCCACCCTCCAGCACTGAAAGGAAACAGTCAGGGGCACTGGCACAGCCCCCGGGACTAAGAATGAGGAGCAGCTGGATTGGATTTCCTGCCAGGAATCTTCTGTGCCTAGATAAGCATTCACCCTGGGCACTTGAGGAACACCTAAAATCTCCTGCCTGCTGGAAGTGTGCAAATAGGAGCTCACTACTTCTCTTTGATTTTTGTGTGGGTAGTTTTGTGCTGGTGCCTCAGAAACCCCACTTCAGCTCTGGGCCAAGCTCAGACACACTGCACAACGACACACTGAGAGATGAGAATTCTCTCTTAGTTCTCAAAGGTCATGTTTCACTTAAAATCTGACATATGGTTAAGCAGCTACAAAATAATGGAATAAAGTTGTCTCAGTTTGAAAAGACAGGTGTGTGCTAAGGAAGGCAGGAGCCTCCCTTGAAATGGAAAATATAAATCCCCTCCTTCTGAATTATTACAATTTTGAAATTAAGGGGCTCTCAGGCAAAGATACGGGAATAGGAATAACAGTTCTTTACCAGGAAAAATAAAATTCAAACACAATAGTACAAAAAAACCCAAACCACTGCCAGAGTCAGAACAGGCCCTGACCCCCTGTGTGTCAGGGAGGTGCCACAGCCCCATCCCAGGGGGGCTCAGCCCTCCTGCAGTGCCAGCTGTGCTTCTGCTGGAGCAGGATCCTGCACAAGGGGGGAGTTTTCCTCTGGAGCTCCAGGGCTGGGGGAGATGGGCCTGGGCTCCTCTGGGAATGCAGGGGGAAGAAAGCTGCTCCTCTGGGAATGCAGGGGGAAGGAAGCTGCTCCTCTGGGAATGCAGGGAGCAAAGGCTGCTGTGCTGTTCCCAGGTCAGATTGGATCCAGGTAGGAATGCTTGGCTCCTCCCCTGGGCAGAGCATCTCCCCATGGATGATGGAATTTTCTCAGCCATGCAGGGACACTCAGTGGCCATGAACAGCAGAGATCTCCTGGAGGGAGGATTGGCTGTGGGAGAGATAAAGAAAACCGCCCATGGACAGCAGAGAACTGCCCCAGCTCTGACAGATGGTGACAGAACACACACCCCCAGCTATATCTTCCAACCTAAGACAAAAGTATTATATATAGGGCTGCAAGGGGAAAGCCTGCATCTCACAGAGCATTAAGAAGTGTTTGTCCAAAGAGAGAAGCTACAGCCCAGTCTAGGTGCAGCCAGCTATGGATTTCTCCTGCATTATAGGACTTGGCTGGATTTCAGGGGGACTTGAAACCATCTTTAAAAACCTGAATGTCTTCAAAAGCTCAATTCTGTACAGATAAAATGAGCAATCTGATCATATCATTGCTGTGGGTTTGGTTTGTGAGTCACATAGTGTAAAGCATATTTGAAATAACAGCTCTCAGTGGTACAGCAGCCCTCATGTTTTGTGTGTGTGTATTTATTTATCTCTGTAAAGGTTGGCCATAAAAACAAGGTAAACATCACTGCTTTGGCTCTGGGAAAGGAGAGATTTGACACAATCCTTCTTTCTGAATGGCGCTTGTTTGCCATGCTGTTCTGGAAATAACAGCAGGCTCCCTCTTACTCCTCACTGAGCAAGAAAAACTGTCCCAAACTGTCCCAAAGGTGGCCCAATATGTACATTTGCTTTGTTCTTTCTAAAAGTTGGTTATTGCTCTTTAACTTGTTGGACAGGTAGTGTGCGGTTTGCTCTTTGCTGATCTCTAATTGAGTCTCCCACACAGAGGTCTGAGGGTGCCCTTTGGAATGGAGGGCTTTGTACGTGTAGGCACTGATCTGGGAGTTCAGAGGATTTTTAATTTCTGCAGTCCCTTTTATGGATAGAATTCTCTTGTCCAGCAAATATCCAGAGAAAGCTAATGAAGGTCAGAAAGGAATGTGTGTATTTTACTCTGGGTATTAACTAAAACTTGTCTTTTTGATCCAAGCCTGTTTTTTTATGTGCTGACATTTACACGAGTACAAATTGTGATCCAGCTTATTTCCAACTTTATGGAGATTTGCACAAATGAACTTTCCAGTTTGTGTTTACAAAGAGTGGGTTTCTGTGCTGTGTGACCAGGTGAGGAGCTGAAGGGAGCAGAGACTCAGAAGGGAGCACTCAGCATTTTCAGGAACCATGTGCTGCTTCCTGGGAAGTGCTGGGCAAAGTCTTCCCATTAGCTCATCCCATTCCTCTGGGGCTAATGTAGGAACCCATTGATGTCTATGAGGAATATGAGATATTGGGCATTTATAGGACCCAGAGACAGCAAAGGTGGTCCAAGCTTTGAACATCCCAGTGGCTGGAGGGTGAGTGACCTGTCTTGAGGAAAGCTCGTGTTTGTGCCCAGTGTCCAAAGGTACTGTGGGACCCTCTCAGGGGGATGGGCCAGTAAATGGTGCTGCCATTGGAAAACAGGGATTGCAGGAGGGAGAAAACTCTCAACAAACCCTGGGTACAGCCATCCCCTGTACCTGCCCTGTCTGAGCATCTGGAAAAGATGTCAGCAGGTCACCTGTGCTGCTCACTGGGGACCTGAGGAACCTCCCAGGCAGCCACCTTCCAGCCTCTGTGTCCAGCAGAGGTCTGGCTCTTGGACTAAAGCCTCCAAGCAGTGTGAAGGCTGGAAACTCCCTCTCTGGTGCTTTGGATAGTGGTGGGTAGGGGTGGATTCACAGCAGCAGCTGACTCCAGTAAACGCTCGGCTGCCTGGAAGCCAACGTGACAGGAATGGTGTGGCACTACCTGAGCAGTGTGGAAAAATAGTACAGAAAGTCTGAACTTCAGGATAAATACTGGAAAGACAGAGAACAGAAGGGCATGACTGGCTCATCCAGAGCTCTTCTGTTAAATTTTATTTTGTGGTCGCTCAACAGGTCATAGAATCACAGAATGGTTTGGGTTGGAAGGGACCCAAAGACCACCCAGTTCCAGCCCTCTGCCATGGGCAAGGACAACTTCCACTATCCCAGGGTGCTTCAAGCCCCATTCAACTTGATATATAAGATCAGGGAGAATTAAAGCTATTTGCAAATTGTTGTAAAAGAGAGAGCAGTGATGAAGGAATGCTGAAGGGAAGCTGGCCAGAAGAGGGGCGAACAGAGAGGGTTTCTTCCCCTGTGCTAAAGAAATGCACA